TGCTGCTTTGTGCTGATCACAGAACGACAGAAATGAGACAACAACTCGGAATGAAGAAGAACAGAAGAAGCTCATGGACTATTTCTAATTCCAGCATCGAGATGAATGCAGCCGGTTCTGATCTTCAAGAACTAATGCTAAATATCAGGCAAAACGAGCAAAACACAAGCTAATGACAGGAAAAACAGACTACAGATCTGAAAAATAAACGTTACACATCAATTATGCAGCATTTCTTTTCTGTATGTTTATTTATGGATCAAAGACGCAAAAGTGGGGTTTCAAACATCAAATAATGTGCTATGCAGCTTGTTTTCTGTACATTAGACAATTATAGCTTTCATACATTTTAGCATGATTTACTGAAGACTTTGGATTATTTATTTTTTTCCTTTTTTAAATATTTCCCAAAGATGTTTAACAGAAAAAGGGAAAATTTCACAGTAATATTTTTTGTTCTGGAGAAAGTCTTATTTGTTTTCATTTGGCTAGAATAAAAGCAGTTAAATTTGTTTAAAAATCATTTTAAGGTCAATAGTATTAGCTCCTTTAATCTATATTTGTTCGATAGTCTACAGAACAAACCATCGTTATACAATAACTTGCCTAATTACCCTAACCTGCCTAGTTAACCTAATTAACCTAGTTAAGCCTTTAAAATGTCACTTTAAGCTGTATAGAGTTGACTTGAAAAGTATCTAGTTAAATATTATTTACTGTCATCATGGCAAAGAAAAAATAAATCAGTTATTAGAGAACAAATATGTGAACAAATCTGCTCTCCGTTAAAAAAAAATTGGAAAAATAATAAACAGAGAGGCTAATAATTCTGACTTCAACTGCACTTAAAAAATGTTATTATGCATAACTAATAAACTGTTTTAGTGAGTAAATAATAGTTCAAGAAAACAGAAAATACATAGATCATTTTTTTTAACAAAATAAACTCTTACATACTGAGACAAATTAAGCTAATTTTGTTAAACTAGACAGTTTGCTTATATTTAATATGTTTTATGCGTTCATTTAAAATCAAATTTGGAAATTTAATTGATGCTGACATCTTTAGCCCTTATATAAAACTCTTTAAAACTCTTTAAAATTAATTGCAGAACAAAATGTGATGTTAATCACAGATCCTGCATAAAAAAAAAAAGAATTTATATAAAAGTACTTTCACCTATTCATTTTCTTTTCAGGCTAGTCCCTTTATTAATCAGGGTTTGCCACAGTGGAATGAACTGCCAACTTTTCCAGCATATGCTTTACACAGCGGATGCCCTCCAGCTGCAACCCATCACTGGGAAACACCTATGCACACTCATTCACACCCATACACTACCGCGGTTTATGCAATTCACCTATAGCGCATGTCTTTGGACTGTGGGGGAAACCGGAGCACCAAAAATACAACCGCATAGTCACGTTACAAAATGAGCCTTTATTACCATTAATTTCCATTGCATTACATAAGCAGTATCACCATCAAAGAATTTTCATCGCACATCATGCATAAAAAATAGTCACTCCTGTATGGAGCCAAACAATAATCTATCTAAAGAGGGTTTTTTGTTTCTAAAGATGCCCATCAGGCTTTGTGTTAAACAAGAGCAGGGGAAATTGAAGTTTTGTGTAGAGCAGTACTGAAAAATAGAGCTTAACATTTTCTAAAGCCAGTGCACTGCTATGACATTGCTAGTTTTGATACTCAGGTTGTTGTTGTTGTTGTTGTTGTTGTTGTTGTTAATAATAATAATAATATTTAACTTATTTTTTTTCTTTTATTTGTTTATTTATTTTTTTATATTTTTATACTTATTTAAAAATTTATACTTTTCTTTCTTTCTTTCTTTCTTTAATTAATTATTCATATATAGTATACATTTATTCATTTATACTTTTATTTATTTAATAATTTATAATTTTATCCATTTATTTAATTGTTTATTTACACTATTTATTTATTTAGTTAATTATTTATATCCTTATTTATTTATACTTTTGCTTATTTATTAATTTATACTTTTTATTTATTTACACTTTTAGTTATTTATACTTTCATTTATTTATACTCTTACTTATTAGTATATATAATACATTTATTAATATATACTTTTATTTATTTATTCATTTATACTTTATTTATTTATTTATTTATGTATTTGTACTTTCATTATTTATACATTTATTTATTTATTTATTTATTTATACTTTTGCTTAATTATTAGTTTATACTTTTATTTATTTATTTTTCAATTATTTATTTATATGTTTACTTATTAATTAATTTATACTTTTATTTATTTAAATATTTATTTATTTATACTTTTATTTATTTATTTAAACTTTTATATATTTATATATTTATTTATTAAGTATTTATTAATTCTTTAATTTATTTATACATTTATTTATTTACTTATTTATTTACTTATACTTTCATTTATTTAATTTAATGTTTTTATTTATATTCATGACAGTTATTGTTGACTTAATATAA